AGAGGCAGAGCTTTAAGGGGCTCAAACCTAGAACCTCTGGTTCCAAATCAGGCATCTTGCCATTATACTCAATTCATTCAATCAAATTCAATTGAACACACTTTTAGTAAGCATGTATTATATGCAAGATGGGCAGCTAAGTGGCACAGTGGGTAGAGTGCTGGTCCTAGAATCAGGAAGACCTGAGTTCAAATCTGTCCTCTGACATGTAATAGCTGTGTGACCCTGGGCAAGTCACTTAAGCTTGTCTGTCTCAGTTTTCTCATCTGTAAGATAAGCTGGAGAAGGAAATGGCAAGCCACTCCAGTGTCTTTGCCAAGAAAACCCCAAATGGGATCATGGAGAGTCAGATGTTACCGAAAACAACTAAACAACACGTTATGTGTAAGACAAAATGGTAGGAACTGAGGCTACAAAGACAAAGATGAAACACAGCTCCTTCCTTGGAGAATTTACGTGTGTAAATTCCGGGAAGGGACTTACCTAAGGCCTGCCAGAGACTTTGTTCAGCCCTCTCCCTCTCGCTTTATTTATCAAGTCCCAGAAAGGTGAAGTAGTTTGCTTGAGATCACCCACATAGCAAGTGTCAGAGCCAGAATTTGAACCCAGGTGCTCTGATGCCACAATACAACTGTCTTTTCATGTAATAAACAGCTGCTCCGCAAATGGATCTGCTGAGGGTCATGCAGAAATCTTAGGCTGTTATCTAGTCCAGTCTCTTCATTTTTTGTGGAGTAGGGTCTAGAGGAAAGGACTTAGACTCAGAAAACCCTGGGTTCAAATCTCGTCTCACTTATTAGCTGTGTGACTCTTGGCAGGTCACTTAACTTCTTTGTGCCTCAGTTTCCATATCTGTAAAATGAGGGTTGGACTTAATGGGCTCCGTGGGCCTTTCTAGCTGTGAATCCTGTGAAATTTAGGACTTTCCCAAGGTTACATCATTTGTTTTCATTTTATTTTGTTCTGTTTTTTTTTTTTAATGGAGCCAGGACTAGAAGCCAGGTTTCATGATTTCTAGTTACCATGCTTTACATGGTATTTAGTGTTTAATGTTGACTTGTATTTAGTCATTCTTTTTTTTTCTTGTTCCTGTGTTTAAAATAGATAAACTCTTTTCATTTGTTTCTATTAAGTTTAGTTATTGTTTAGTTGTTTCCAGTTCTTCATGATTCTATTTGGAGTTTTCTCGGCAGAGATACTGGAGTGGTTTATCATTTCCTTCTCCAACTCATTTGACAGATGAGGAAACTGAGGCAAACAGGGTCATACAGCTAGTAAAATCTGTCTGAGGCCAGATTTGAACTCAGGTTCTCTTGACTCCAGGGCTGGCACTCTATCTGCTTCATCACCCAGCTGCCCCTCTTTAATGTGTAGGATCCTGGTCCACATCCTCTCAAAACAATATCTCATGAGCCTTCAGAGATGACGGCTTTTTATTCCAGTCTAATTGAAGACAAAATTAGTTCAAAGCAAAAGTGTTTAGTGAAATAACCTGGTAAGACTTGGGGTAGAACATTTCTTCGGTCTTCCTGCCTGAAATCCCTCCCTGCTCCAGAGCATCTTCCACTCAGCTGTCTAAGTCATCTTCCAAAATCGCTTGTTACCCTCCCTTCCCCCTCTGTTTAATAAACTTCAGTGGCTCCCTACCAGGGAGCAAATAGAAATTCCTGTTTGGCATTTAAAGCCCTTCCTAACCTGACCCCTCCTTCTCTTTCTAGTCTTATACTTTACCACCCCTAGCTCTCTTCCCCCTACTCTGTGATGTAGCAATACTGTCCTCTGTGGCTCCTGGAGATCTCCCATCTCCAGGCATTTTCACCAGCTGTCCCCCTGCCTGGAACTCTCTCCCTCCTCCTCACCCCCCCCACCCCCGCCTTCTTCCTTCGGGTCCCAGCTAAAGTTTTACCTTCTATAAGAAGCCTTCCCTTATCCCCCACTTAATTCTAGTGCCTTCCCTCTATTGATTATCTCCAATTTATCCTGTGGATATCTTCTTTGTACATAGGCTCCTTTTGAGCCTGGACTGTCTTTAGCCTTTTTCAGTATCCTCAGCCCTTAGCCCAGTACCTGGTACATAGTAGCTGCTTAAGAGTCACGCTACTGTTTTCATCGATGCTTTATTGACTAAGAGTACCCCAGGCTAAGATATAGGGATTTTTTTTTCTTTTTTCAACTACTATGTCTGGACTAGGGATCGAAGCCTTCTGCTACAGAGGAAAACTCAGTGTTTGCCACCCACTCAACCCACATTCCTGTTTTAATTATGCAAATCTATCAACAGCAAAGCGTGATTACTGTGGTGTTCTGTTTTGGCCAGCAAATAATTTCCTTTTCCTAGCATTTGTAAAGGAGGGCCCCCTCAGGTTTTCTAGCTCCAAATCTGTGAGCCTGTGATTCCAAGGCTAAAGGGTTCAAGTTTCGATTAGCACATTCTGTCAATTACAAGGAGACACTGGGGGTGCTGGGACCTTCTTTCCACTGCTTCCTTATCAGTCTTGTAGGGGCCTTCTCCAATCGTCCTGATCTATATCCTACCAATGGACCCAGATGGCTCTGGAAGAGAAAGGGAGGCTGGTGACTTTTTGCACAGCCCTGCCTCACTTAACTCAAACTCACTCTGTTGTAGACTTATGACCCTGTTATCCTACAATCTTATGAAAGAGGGTTGGCAGCTCTTCGGACCCAGAGGGTGCACAGTTTATACTTCTCTTACCCACACACACCACATTTCTCCACTATTTATAAGCAAAAACCTGTAAGACGTGTGACTGCTATTATAAACGTGTTTTTATGGCTAGTATAGAATGCCAGTAAAATAATTTGCAAACTTAGCTGCAAGTTGAAGTGAAGGAGAGAACATGAAACGGGCTCCGCTGATCTGGGGGTGGCGAGGCACTATCCCAAGCTTCAGGCTTTCTCATGCTGCTGTTTTCAGAGCTAGTTCTGGGCTAGGGTGGGGTGGGGGGTGGTCTGTAAGTTTTCAGTGTTTCCAAAGTGGTGTGGTCTGGGGAGAGGTGTGGGCACTTCTCTCCTGGTCTACACTCTGGTCTTTACCTAAGAAGGACCCCTGGTCCCCTGCAGCCCCAAGTGCTAGTGCTCCTCTTGGCCCTGGAACTGTGACCAGGAGCCCTGCTCCCTTGTAACTGACCATAGACGCTCCTCTCCACTGTGGAACTGCAAACCAGAACTGTGTTTGGGCAATAGAGTTGCTAGTCAGCACCAGCTTCGCCCAGGGCCAACAAAAGATCCCCTGTAAGTCTCTTTCTGACCAGTTGTCCAACTCTCTTACCATCTCTGAGCTGAGAGCTCCCAAAGCTGCTGCTCTGGCTTCTGTTACTGAGGCTCTGGACAGGCCTCCACCTCGGTGTCACAGTCCTCCCCTGAGGACCTCCCAAGTTTTCTTACCTGGAAAAATGTCACCCTGACCTTTTGTTGGCCCTGCCACTCCAAAATTTCATTTGAGGAGTTATTTTAAAATTGTTTCAAGGGGAATGTTGAGAGAGTCCCTCTGGGTTACTGCCTCCAATCTGCCATCTTGGCTCTGCTCCCCCACCAAAACCCTTTTTATCACATCATATTTATTTTTGCAGTTGCTATTGGGGTTTGGACCATTTAATTCTTTGACTAAGGTGAGGGTAAATGCTGAGATAGCTGCTTAAGGCTTGCTCTGAGAACTGAAAACATTGTGATATTAGAGGAAATAGACATTTCTGAAATGACATGAATTATCCATCTAGGACCAAGGTTGAATTCATATTACATTGGAAAATTCTGGGGGGGGGGGGTGGTTCCTACCAAAGGCAGCATTCAGTATGTTGCCATAGGAAGGCCTTCAGGCAGATAGATATGTCTTTATTTCAAAGGACCTCCATGAGTTATTCCCTTCCAATTGATTTATTTCAGTTAGGAGTTTTCTTAGCCTCTTTGCCTTGTGAAAAGACTACAATAATGATTGGAGTGTAATGGAGTAGAACTTAATCTGTGGTTAAAGTGTTCATCTGTCTTGATATTGATAAATAATGCTACAGAAAAGGAAATGAGTATCCTCAAGAAAAGGTGTGTGTGTGTGTGCGCGCGTGCGTATTGGGAAAGTAAGAGTGTTAGAAGAGACTTTAATCTGGCAGTCCTTTTCCACTAATTCTGTTTGGTTCAATAAAATTTTTCTAAATTGATTCTACTGGAGCTCTGTGTTTGGAATACAAAGAGCAAAACAAAAACTTTCCCTGTCCTTAAAGAGTTTACACTGCCATTCCTTGGCATCTCACCTATAAAATAGGATCAAGAATTTGTGAAATTTGCAGAATTGAAATGTGACCTTTACAGATACTTGTGTAGATGAGAATTAACTTTAATTTTTAATAAGAAATGAGATCAAAGGAAACAGAAAGCAGAATGGATTAGAAACCAGAATCCAACAATATGTTGGGTATAAGAGACACATTTGAAACAGAAAGACACACAGTTAAAATAAAGGGCTAGAACGGAATCTAGTATGCTTCAGCTAGAGTAAAAAAAAAAGGCAGGGATAGCAATCATGATCTCAGACAAAGCAAAAGCAAAAAGAGACCTAATTAAATGAGATAATCAGGGAAACTACCCCACAGATAGGGAATGTGGTTTACAGAGGTTAAATGATTTGCCATGCTCACATAGCTAATACGTGCAAGAGATCGCATTTGAACCCAGATGTCTTCACCAAGTTCAGCACTTTCCAGTAAGCTACAGGGGCATATCGTAGGTGGCTGATATGAGGAACAAGCCAAGATGATCTCATTAATATCTTTTCCTAAATCAACCATCTCTTTTTGTAGCACAGATATTGGAGTGAAGCTAGTCTCCTTTTCTAGATCCTCTCTTGGCCCTTGAAGCATGTACTTTTCTGGATGAAAAGATTTTGTACCTTGGACCCTTGAGTACATGGAAACTGACAAGGAAGCACATTGGAGTCTTTCCTACTCAATGTGGGGAAGATCTTCTTAAATCCAAACAACAATTCTTAGTTAAATTGGTTCATTTAATAATTCAGTGATTGTTGAAATCGCATCTTTACTTAACTCATAATACTGACAGAGTAAAAGTAATTTCACAGCACGAGTTCCCAGGTAGGAAGGTGTCTTCAATTTATACCAGTTCTCAATGCTGGGAAAGTTCATACATATCTCAAATTTGCTCAGCAAACGTCGAATCCTTATGATGAATGCAAGCAGAAAAAGGTCCTCATCAAGGAAATATTTGAGCTTGGGCACCTCTTCATATCCCCGCACCTTTTTAGAGGAAAAAAGACAGTGAATGATTGGCCAGTGACTGGTATTGAAAGGAGATGAACACCTGTCATTATGTCTGAATCACGGAGATGATTTAGGACAGAATTCTTCACTCTGTGAGGGCCTAGTGCTATTGTCTAGGAATAAGGGCAGTACCAAATCAAATGCAATAATATGTATAAAAAATAGTACTTAGCACAGTGCCTGGCTCATCGTAGGCTTTGCTTCCTCGCTTCCCCTTCCCTACCATCATTCTCCTCTGTGCTTGAAATAAGAGGAACTTAGGTAGCGAGTTCACCAAGAAAACAGTTATATTGAGGGTTATGATAGTAAACACAATTTCAGGAGTATAGGTTACAAATTCTCAGTAACAGCAGAAAAAAAGTTTTTTCCTCTACCACTAAAATGAATGTATATTCCTTTCTTTTCATGAACTTTTAAAAAAATAGGAAGTTTATTTTTTATGAAGAATGCATCTGCCAGAACTTTTCTAGGAAATACACACAGTCATATACACATATACATTTTGGTTTAGATGAGTGATTTTAATTGCTTTGGAGAACTACCACTAAGTTCTGCCTTTGTAGATCTGCAACTGTCCTGCATTTTATGACTTTGGAACATTACTTGAGGCATTAAGAGATGAAGGGAGCTGTCCAGGGTCATGCAACCAGTCTGTATCAGGGCAGGTCCTGACCTTCCTAGCTCTCAGGTCAACTATTAGTTCCTATGCCATGCTGATTCCCTTGCACAAAATGGGCAATTTTTTTTAAGCACCTGTAGAAATAAATCTGATGGACTAGTAAGAACTAAAGATGAAGAAACCAAAGTTTAGGTCAAGTAACTTTTTTTTTTTCTCAAATTAGGGGCAAGTATGAGACTAAAGATTAGGGTTCCTGATTTTTATTTTGATATTCTATTCACTTGTTTTTGTTGAGTCATTTCAATCATGCCTGACTCTTCATGACCTCATTTGGAGTTTCTAGGCAAAGATACTGGAGTGCTTTGCCATTCCCTTCTCCAGTTCATTTTACAGATGAGGAAACTGAGGCAAACAGGGTTAAGCGACTTGTCCAGGGCCACATAGGTAGTTAAGTATCTGAGGCTCGATTTGAATTCAAGTCTTCCTGACTCCAGGCCAGGCACTCTATTCACTGTACCACCTAGCTGCCCCTTCTATCCACTCATCCCATGCTAATAATAATAACAACAAAAATAATAATATAAAAAATTAAAGCTAGTCTGTGTATTTTGAACTAAAACACCCTGACTGCCTCAGACAAGCACCTTATTTTTCTTCAGATGTGACCCGTATTATTGCCTTGGTCCTCCTCTTCACTCAACTGTGAAGCCAATGTGAGTATTATATTCCAGGAAAGGAGACCCTAAGCCTTGTCCTTTAGAGAACCAAAAATGAAGATTTCACTGAGACCAGTTGGGAGCAGCAGGTATGCCAACTGGATTTACTGAAAGGCATTTTGAGAAAACTAAACTCTGAAATAATTACAAGGCTGCTTTAGTACAATATGAAATTCTTTTTTTTTTTTTAGGCAATTGGGGTTAAGTGACTTGTCCAGGGTCACACAGCTAGTGTGAAGTGTTTGGTCTGAGGTTGGATTTGAACTCAGGTCCTCCTCACTTCAGGGTCACTGCTCTATCCACTGTACCACATAGCTGCCTCACAATATGAAATTCTTGCTATGGGTTCTTTCCTTCAATTCTAAAATTGTGAGTCAAGTGATAAACTACATACAGTCAAATGATGAATTCAATTCAAAAAGCATTTATTTACAGGTACTAGACACTGGGCATACAAAGGCAAAAAATGCAAAAGCCCTTGACCTGGAGAAGTTTATATTCCAATGGCCATACCATGAACACAGATTAAATACCAAACATGTTTAAAGTAAATACAGTTGGTGGAACAGTGAACTGATCCAACCATTTTGGAGAGCAATCTGGAATTATGCCCCAAAAGTTATAAAACTGTGTATACCCTTTGACCCAGAAATACCACTATTAAGTGTCTTTTCCAAGGTGATCAGGGAAAAAGAAAAAGAATACGTATGTTCTAAAATATTTATAGTAGCTCTCTGTGGTGACAAAGAACTGGAGATTGTGGGGTGCCCATCAACTGAGGAGTGGCTAAATGAGTTGTGATGTATGATTGTGATGGGATACGACTGTGCTATAAGAAATGATGAGGTAGTTGATTTTAGAAAAACATAAAAAGACTTGTACAAAATAAGGAAAAGTGAAATGAGCAGAACCAAGAGAACATTGTATACAGTGACAGCAATATTGTTTGAAGACCAACTTTGAATGACCAAGTTATTTCGAGTATTACAAATACTCAAATCAACTGTAAAGCACCTATGAAGGAAGATGCTATCCACTTCCAGAGAAAGAACTGACAAATAGAAGTATGCGTAGTATAGTTTTACACACACACACACACATGTGTGTGTGTGTGTGTGTGAAATGGTGGCCTTCTCTAGTGCGGGGTGGAGAGGGAGAGAGAAAAAATAAAAATAAAATGTGCACAGCAAGGAACAAAAGAAAATTCAGAAGGAAGTACAGAAAAGCAAGGTAGTTTTGAAAACAATGTGTAGTATTTATTCCAAAGTTGTTGTTGTTATTTTTTTTTAAAGTAAACTGTGAAATGAAGAATCATGGTTTCACATTGAATCCCCTTTTTGTGTTGTGCTGTGTACATGGAAATACTTTTTTTGTGTGTTTAAGTTCAAAATGAATAAAAAATTTAAAAATAAAGTAAATAAAAAGTCATTTTGAGGTGGGGAAGAGCTTGTTGTTCAGTCATTTTCAGTCATGTCTGACTTTGTTACCCCATTTGGGATTTTCTGGGCAAAGATACTACAGTGGTTTGCAATTTCCTTCTCCAGTTCATTTTATAGATGAGGAAACCAAGGCAGATAGGGCTAAGTGACTAGGGTCTGAGGCCAGATTTGAACTCATGAAGATGAGCCTTCCTGACTCCAGGCTAGGCACTCTATCCATTGGGCCATGTAGTATTGCCAACCAAAAGCTTCTTGTAGTTGGTGGCACTTGAGCTGACCTCTGAAGGAGGCTAGGAACTCTGAGAAGGAGGCAGAGGGGAAGAAGGGGAGCATTCTTGGCAAAGAAGCAGAGCAGTCAGGGAACAAAGACATAGACCTGGGAGACAGGAAAGCTGTGTATGAGAATCAGGAAGTGGGATGTAGAATGTATAATTATGGAGTTGTAACATGAAAGAAACTAGCAGTGCTAAGCTGGGGGCAGATTATGAAGGCTAAACTGAAATATTTCTACTGAATCAGAGAAGCAAGAGGGAGCCATTGAAGATTCTTGAGGCTAGGAGTGACATGGTCAGGTCACCTGTGCTTTAGGGTGATAAATTTTGCAACCATGTAGAGGTTGGGTTGGATTAATTAGTAATGCCATCCTCTAGATAAATGATAACAAAATCTTTCCCAAGAGCTCTAGAGAAATACTCCCCTTCGTGTACTAGATGGTTTAGCCCAGGGATGGGGAGCCTGCAGCCTCGAGGCCACAGGTGGCCCTCTAGGTCCTCAAGCATGGCCCTTTTACCGAACCCAAGTTTCACAGAACAAATATAAGTCACAAGGTCACAACCAAGGACCTAGAAGGTCACCTGTGGCCTTGAGGTTGCAGGTTTCCCACCCCTGGTCTAGCTTAAGGGTCAAATCTAGCTCTTCCCCTGTTTTTGTACAGCCTACATGCTAAGAATGTTTTATATATTTTTAAATAGAATAAAACTATATTTTAAAATGCAAAACCATTCTTAGTTAGCCAGGGCATAGTTTCCCCATCCAGCCATGTCAACTTCTATATGAAGCTTTTTCTGATTTCTCCAGGTGCTGGTGCCTTGTGCCCCCCACATGACCTTGTCTCTTATTTTGTATGTGTCTCTAAAGATATATGTGCCCCCCACATTACCTTGTCTCTTATTTTGTATGTATCTCTAAAGGTACATGTGCCCCCCACATCACCTTGTCTCTTATTTTGTATGTATCTCTAA